AATAGCACCCATGTATGTAAATCAGTCATGAAGCTAGGTCTTAATTAGCTAGAAACCATAGCAAAACTGACCAAGTATTCATAAAGAAAACAGAAAACCTTATTCATGAGGACACATATTAATAATTCTTTTTAAATGTCTTATTTTAAGCTGTATGCAGAACATGTGTTTCTAAACACAAAGCAGATCTCGGTCTTGGTGAACAAGTTGTGGAAGAAATAAAAGGTAATTACTTTTATTAGTATATCATAAGTATTTCCAGTTTATTGGCATTAGGGATGGATCTATGTTTTTTTTTCTGTTTTTGGTGGTTGGAGTTGGGGGGTTATGGATTGACCAAATTATGCATTCCAAATAAGACAAGTAATATGGGATGTGTCCCTCATTATATACAGGTCCATGTTTGCACCGCTCCTGATTTGTATTGTTTGAATGGACTTTTGAGCTTGAATACTGTTTGTTATCTCCATATATTTCCTTTTCACTTAGACAGAGTTGAGCAGCTGACCATGTCAACTAGTGCCTCATTACCTTCACCTAATCTGAGAGACTGCACTGAAGTCAATGGTATGTTGTTTGTGAATGGTTTCCTTAAACTTTCAGACTATTTATGCAAAATTTTTAATTTAAAACATTTATATCTTTAGGTCACCTGAGTTTTTCAGGTGACATTTTGCTATCAATTTTTGTCTGTTGTCCTTCCTTTGTATTGCATTGGCAATTTTTATGCCCCGCCAGGAATATGGCCGGGGCATATAGTGTTTGTCATGTCCGTCTTCCATCCTTCTGTCCTTCCGTCACACTTTCAAAGAAACTATCCAAGATATTTTTATCAACCTTCATATGCTGATAGATATTGAAGAGAGCTATGCAACTGCATCAACATTTTTTGACCTTGACCTTTCCTTTGACCTTAACCTCACTTTTCTTAAATTAGTGTTTAGCTCAGTTTTAAAAATACCATTCAAGATGGTGTAATCAAACTTCATATGTTGATACATACTGATGTAAGCTATTCAACTGCATCAACATTTTATGACCTTGACCTTTCTTTAGACCTTGACCTCACTTTTCTTAAATTAGTGTTTAGCTCAGTTTTAATGAAACCATTCAAGATATTTTTAACAAACTTCATATGCTGATACATACTGATGAGAGCTATTCAACTGCATCAGTATTTTTTTTACCTTGACCTTTCCTTTGACCTTGACCTCACTTTTCCTAAATAAGTTTTTAGCTCAGTTTTAAAGATGCCATTCAAGATAGTGTTATCAAACTTCATATGCTGATACATACTGATGAGAGCTATTCAACTGCATCAACATTTTTGACCTTGACCTTTCCTTTGACCTCACTTTTCTTAAATTAGTGTCAAACTTCATATGCTGATACATACTGATGTAAGCTATTTAACTGCATCAATATTTTTTCACCTTGACCTTTCCTTTGACTTTGACCTTACTTTTCTCAATTTGTGTTAAAATGTTGCATTATTAATATACCCTCGGCAGGGCATTCATGTCCTATGGATATATTTCTAGTTTTCAAGTATTTTCAGCTTCTTTTGTGACAGACAGACAAACGATTGAGATTTAATTTCTCCTTGCTTTCACAAAAGTGGGAACAAAAATCTTTTTTTAGCAGGCATATTGTTTGTATGATAATAATGAATAGTTAGCACACTACAAAAATTATGAAATTCATGTATCCCAGGTCGAAGTACAAGGCCCAGAGAGGGGCTAAATTTGTCATATATTGAAATTTATCAAATGGTAAACCTTGCATGGTTATGATGAGCAAGTATACCTCTTCCAAAATTATGAAATTCATAGCTCATATTTTTTTGCCCATGAGTATTTAGGAAACGTATTTAGTACATGGTTATGATGAGAAAGAGTGATTAGTTTTCTGAAAGTGCTTAAGCACTACTGTTTTGTTTAGTCAGAATGGTGATTGTAACGTGGGAGCAAGTACAGGCAAGAAAATAGATCTACTTTAGATTTGTTACTGAGCACCAGATTAATTATTTTGTTGATTCCTGGTCATCCTAATTGTCTTCCATTTTGACAAGATAGTTTCATCTTTATGTTTATTTTCTTTTACTCTATACTTGGATCATTTGCAATTTTGTATTATATTCAGGTGACCGTTAAGGCCTGTGGGCTACTTGTTTTTGTAATCATTATTAATTATATATAAAATTTAAATACTTCATAAGATGAATGCTCTACATTTTCAGATGTTAACAACAATGTTAACCCTGCTGAAGAAACTGATGTAGTATCACGTGTCTCTCAAAAAAATGAACTTGACCAAGGTCAGCATATACAAATAACCGGGTTTATTTTACAGTGAACATTGTAATGAAATTTCTCCTATACTGAAACCATTTTAAGTGACCTTATTAAAATAAATTTATTTGAAATCCTTATGATGAAAAGCTCTAAAGCTCAAGCGAATTTTTCTGAGCTACTACTAAGAATAAAGCCCATAGTCCACAAGACACCTGATTTACCTTTGGCCATGTTCTGAAGGTGTTTAAATACTTGTACATGTATTTCCTTCTTTATCCCCATTTACCAATTTTGACCCCCAGATTGTGACCACACCTTAGTCTCAAAGAGTTTGTGATTAAATAAGAATCCATACATAATGGGATGCTTCAAAATGAATATGACTAAAAAGGCCTTGATGTTCTGGAAAAAAAAAGTTTTAAAGAATATTTTACTCCTTTATACATGCCTTAATATGCAAAATTTGATACCCAATTTAGCCCTGGTCCAACCAAAGAAACCGTAAAAATTTGAGAGAAAAAAAAAATAAATCCACACAATATTAGAATGTTTGGATATCAATATATTTATAATTTACTGACTGATTATGTCTGTTTTCATATCTGTACAATGGTGCAAGAATGAAAAAAAATTTAGACATTCCTAGTAAGAATTGTTAACATCATTTCATATATGTCAAAGAAATTTATGCAAAACACTTACTGCAAAGTTTTACAAACTTGATCCCCAAATAAGTGCTACTAGTATATCTTTTTCTCTTATACTCATCGCCCTTCATCAGTTGTATGTAAATAATTATATTTTTATTCTTTACAGATATCATGATATCAGATAGTGAATCTCTGCATTTGTCTCAGTCCACTGCAGCATCAAATTGGTCAGATATGCAAAAGTCTTTAAGGGAGAAGTACAATGATGCAATGCAAATGTTGACAAACGGCCACTTGGAATGCCTACGCTCCCAAGTAAGCCAACCTCTGCAGGACTTGCAGTACTCAACAAGAGCATATTATGTGCGTCATGCAAAAGCTGCTTTTGAATATATTTGTGACATCATTGCTCCTGGCCAGAGTCAACAACTCCTTGATGAAGTGATCAACAGCTACAAAGGCTCAGCCATATTCCATCAAGATTCAATGACGGACACAGTAATTGAGGCATACAAGAAGGCTACAGATCATACAACTCGCACTCAGATTCTATCCCTAATTGCAAGTAAATATAGCAAATCCATACTGTTGAGGATGATTAAGGGTTTGACAATCCACCATATAGATGTGGCAAGAAAACATGCAGCTACCTTCTGGCCTGGACATTATGTTGCACCACCTAAAATTGTACGGATAAGAATTTCAAAAGGGAGAATCCAGCACTTCGTAGAATTCATATCAGCTCCTATGTACCTCCACACAGTGAGTTTTGGTTCCAAACACTTGAAACTCTCATCAGGATTGGAGGTCAAAGTACCTAAAGTAATTCGCACAATGATTGCATCAAGACTCATCAATGCATACATGGCATATTGTCAAGACAATGAAATTGCACCACCATCAAGGGCAACTCTATACAAGATAGTGAAAGTTTGTGCAGCTTCACAGTTGAAGTCATTACATGGTATTGACAACCTTGCGAGTGAAGGGGAATTGGGAATTTCCACCTTGAAAAAGCATTAGAAAAGTTATCTGAAGTGGGACTTCATGACGGAAAAGTGAAAGACTTCAAGAATCAATTACAAGCTGTAAAACTGCATCTGAAGAACGAATTCAAAACACACCTCAGCACAAAAAGCACATGCATTGAACATTGCATGCAATATGCTCTATCTGATTTGCCATGTGACCATCAACATTCAGAGACCTGCATATCTTGCCGACAAATAAAAAATGTCACCACTGACATTGCTCAATGCCTTGAAGATGTTCACTGTGATGCAAGTGTTAAAGAGGAAATTCAACATGATGTAGAGTTATCGTGTGAGAAAATTGTGAACTGGCGAGATCACTGCATACGAACTGTTAATCAGGATGCCTGTAAAAGTGATATTCTGAACAATCTTAAAGATGATCAAGGACTCATAATTATTGACTGGGCTATGAAATATTTGCCACAGACATTTAGAGAAACTCAGAGTGAATGGTATGGAAAGCAAGGGATCAGTTGGCATGTTTCATGTGTACTCTTACGAAGAAATGATGCAGAAGATGATGAATCAGTGGACATCCTTTCTTATGTGCACCTTCTTCAACATGGCACACAGGGGTGGTTCACAGTTTCAAAAATCCTGATCCACATTTTGCAGATGCTTCATGGGAGTCACCCACATTTGAAAGAAGTTTATTTGCGCTCTGATAATGCAGGATGCTATCACTGTCTTCCCCTTCTGACATGCCTCTGGAAATTAAGAAACAACATGCATGTAACGATCAGAGAATATAATTTCAGTGAAGCCCAGTCAGGAAAAGATTTGTGCGACTCTCGCACAGGAAGTTGTAGAATACACATCTTGAATTACATCAATGAAGGCAATGATGTTACAAATGTATACGAGATGAAAGATGCACTTGAGAGTCATGGGGGAGTCCGGAATACATTAACTTCCATAATTGATGTGGACATGAACGCCCAGCCTATACTATCTGGTCAACTGAAGATTGCCATAAGTCAGTACAACAACTTCATCTTTAAAGACAATGGTGTTTTGGCATTCAAGTCTTATGGTTTTGGAGAGCAATTTATTTCATCTGAAAAGCTTGAAGCAGTTACAAAAAATATGGTGGACATCCCAGAAGCTGTGGTATGTTGTAATTTTCATTTGCTTCATATAGCACAATCTTGGTATTATTCTATTAATGAATTTAACACATATGTTTTTTTTTTCTTACTTCAGTTCATTTTTTTTATGCACACAGATTGTTGCAAACCCAAAGCCACCCTCTGAGAAGACAAGACAAAGAAAATCTACAAGTCGTTTACTGTCATGTTGTGATCCTGACTGTGTAAAAGAGTTCAGAAAGGAGAATCAACTGCTTAACCACCTAGCAGTTGGTAATCATGTTTATGACAATGAAAAGACCGACAACATACTGGACACTTCAAAGAGAATGTGGGCAGAAGTATGCACCAAAATCAGATCTACTCAGCCCAGTGTCAGTGTGGAAACATGTGATATTAACCCTGCTGATGAAGTCTCGTATGAGACACCGGCATACGCACTGAAGCAGCGGAAGAAAAATACAAGGTTTTCAAGTAAGGTGAAAAAGTATTTGCTTGAGATTTATGATGAAGGAGAGAAAACCGGCCGAAAAGCCAATCCATACACTGTAAGCAGACAGATGCAATCTGAAAAAGACTTTGATGGGGAGAGACTTTTTAGCCCAAGTGAATGGTTGACACACCAACAAATCAGAGGTGTTTTTGCAGGTTTTGTTTTAAAAAAACAAAGAATGCTAAGCTGTACTTCCCAAACAAAGCGCTTGAAGTTGGAGGAGGTCAACGATGAGCAGGATGTCGAAATACTCGAAAATATCATAAATAGTCTTCAGGCAGCGGAACAATTTGATAGTGTCCAAGCAATAGCCAATGAACTAGCGGAATAAATGGCTGTCACAGGAACTCATTGTTTGAGTTCAATGTTTTTTTTAGATTTACTTGAATAATGCTTTTATAATAATACTCAGATGTGTATTCCCCATATGTAATTACATGTACTTCATTACATTCATTTTTGTTGGGATGAACTTCTAGGGTTTCCACAAAATATATCATTTTGTTGAGATGTTTTTTCATTGATATACTGTGTTTTTTTTTCAAAAGAATGAAAGTACATTTTTCTGGATATTTTATTTTTTCAGAAACATGGTACATGTACTGGGGTAAAATAACTTTTCAGAATTTTAGTGTAGAATTTTGAATGTATTTTTTTTTCTCTTTATAAAGCTCTCTTTACAGATTTCATAGATGTACAGTCGTATTACATATAGTATTACTTGAATTTATAACATGGTGGTTAAGTCAATCCATTCACATACAAAGTCATGTTGTCTTTGAGGATGCAAACAATACTAGTAGTTTTATGGTAAGGAACTTGTACTAATTCTTGTTTTAAATTTTTAGCAAGTAAATTGTTGCTATGCTTTAGCCACCATGTTGCTATGCACCTCAAAGGATTATTGGTCTCATAAGTAGACTTCAACCCAAATTTCCCTGTAACATACATGCCTATGGAGCTCATTATTTTATCATACTCTCCTTCTCTCCTTGAACTCTACTTCCTGAAGATATTGTGTGAGGTACATGTAAATACAGATGTCTACATTATGTTATAATGGGAAAAAACTCCTTCCCACCCCTATGAGGTTTGAAAATAATGTATGAATGGTATAATCTTTGCAGAATGTCGTAATTGAGGCAAAATTGATATTTATATACTAAGTGTAGATTATTATGTTCATTTTACAAAATATGTAGCATATATTTAGATTTGTAACATAAAAGAACTAGGTCCAATATGGGCTAAAATTGGCCTTGTTGATTTTAAAAAATGGTGTAAGTTTGTTTTCATCATAACTTCGTTATATTTTATTATCCGACAAATTCAAATTTCTGATAAAAACACTATGTAATGACCTTTTAAGGAACAAAAAGAAATCTCTCTCTCAACTGTGTATCAGGTATTATGGCTCTTAGAATTAAGGCAAGAAAAATCTATTTTTAGAACATCATGAGATTGTTAGAGTTGTCTCTCATTAAAAGTTTAATAAATTTAGAATTTTTATAATGGAAATGATTAACACTGTTCATATATGTACAAATATCCCATATATTTTCCCTGAAATTTGTTTATTATGAAGTAAAGCTATAAAGGAAACTGGTATTTTTTTCATGTGTTTTATAACATTATAGCAATTTGCCAATGACAAACATAGATGGCGCTCATGTACACTGTGCTAATTACCAGATTTTGACCAAATTTGCAGAAAAGTCTTACAATACATTGAAATGAATAAATATGATAATGGGTAGTGAAATTGAGAACCTAACATGAATAGCTCTCTGCATGGTTTTCTCGTAGACTGCCTCTTAAGTAATGGATATATGCCGAATACTGTTCTATATGTAAAATTATCAGACTGTTTGAGGCCCGTTAGGGCCGAAAACAGTCTGATAATTTTACATATAGAATTGTATGAGGCATATATCTTACTTAAAATATTGCTATTTAAATGTCCAAAAGTTACCAGGAGGAGTCCGATAATTACACAATAGGAGTTCAGGCATCAATAGTTTTCTACCTGAAACTATCTAATAAGTAGACAAAAGAAAAGAGAAAGTTTTTTTTAAGACAGTAAAATCAGTGAGTGAACTCTTTTGTTTCATTCATTCAATGGCAGTCGTTTGGCTTACACTACTAAGTCAGAAACGTACTGACATTCCCATTTGTTACTGACAAACTTAGATAATTACTGACAATGTGCTGCCTTTACTGCAAAACTTAGACAATTACTGACCTTTTTACTGCCGGTGCTGATAAACTTAGAAAAGTGCTGACAATCTTAGTCGGTGCTGATAAACTTAGACAATTACTGACCTTTTTACTGCCGGTGCTGAGAAACTTAGACAAGTGCTGACATTTACTGATAAGTACTGTCCCTATTGTTCTCGCTCTCAGGGAGACTGCGGAGGTGTGCAATTGATTTTTTTTAATCTTAAAGAGGGTTTATTTGATTTTTTTTATAAATAATTTTTATAACTATGCCCCAATGATATTTTTAAAAGCTCCTACGATCAATTTATAGAAGAATTATTTGAAAATATTTCATAAGGAAAACATATTTAAAACTTCAAAACGTTTCAGCAGATAAGCAATTTATAAATTATTTTTAGAGGTGTTTAATAGGAAAATATGGCGTTTTAAAGGGATCTTTTCCTCCTGATTATAAAAAAATTATTATTATTATACTTGTATATTCCCTATAATGTACATGTAAACTCCCCTTTTTTGTTGTTTATAATTCCGTATTTAAAAAAATAGAACTGTCTGGGTAGATGCTTTATACGCAATTAATTTTGAATAATTATAATATTTCATACCCAGAGTATGCGGTAGGGCCGGGAGGGAGTGGGCTTTTCTGAGAATGCCCCCCCCCCCCCCCATTTGTGTGCTGTACAGTCAAACATACCCAAATTCCAGCATTTGAAGGAAAGAAATAAAGAAAACATTCTAAAAGATTAGGTACTCCTCCCCCCGAAATAAGATATTTTTTTTAAAGTTTGGACAGTTTACTTTTTGGGGGGCTACGGGGTTGTATTGATATTCTTCGATCCTTGATATTCATTGATTAGTTAGTTACTGTCCATTCTATTCTTTTGAATAAAATACATGTACATCTTTTAGTTGATTTCCATATCTGGGATTTCTGAATCCCTACATGAGAGTGGGGTTTTTTTTTTAGGTTTAATTATTACTGTAATGATTTGTAATGCACGGCAATTCATTTGATATTAAGTAATAAAAAAATAAATAAATGAGCTATGATCTAAAAAATAAATAAATTCAGCGGTTTGAGACAAAATGTCGTTAGTTCGTATATTTTAACTTAATTTGGATTCAAAATGATACATATTTATTGACAATTCTTGCTTTTCAAGTTAAGTAAAATACTCCTTGAATTGCTAATTTTATATTTTCAAAAGTTTATTTGTTGATGCAGCATCTTGAAATAGAATGTTGCTAGAAATCCATATCCATCCTCTTATCAAATAGAATGTTGCTAGAACTTCATACCCATTTTCCTATCAAATTTAAATGGGGGGGAGGGGGGGACGACACGTGCGATCTTTAATAACGACTATTATAATATAACAGAAGCCGATTTCCTAAGATATAGCAAACAAGCTTGAATGTTAAAATAATACTGTTGGGTTTAATTAGTACATAAATTTTCGAGATCTGTGAAAATTTGGAGCCAGAAACAATCGTAGTATGTAATTTTTATTTTGTGCGAACGATTGATATGTCAATAAAATCGATAGCATTATTTTGATACGTTCTCGCTTGATTGAATGGTAAGGTTTTGATGTCGCACTGAGGTCTGCACATTTTGTTAGATTACACAAAGATGCATGGTGCATTAGATCACGCAAATAAATATTTATGTCTCTAATTAGATATTGTATATTAAATGACAAAATGTTCAAATCAAATCATATTTACATGTGTAACTGATGATCTTCATACCCTCTATCTGTATGATTTTTTTTTTTTTAAGTTTATGTATTAGAAATTAATTTCTTTTATCTATTGTAGTTATTTAAAATTTTATTTTCCGTAGATTTATTTAATGAATTACCAGCAAAGGTTTTAACAAGCTCAACACAAATTCACAAATAAATAAATAAATAAATAAATAAATAAATAAATAAATAAATAAATAAATCGTTTCATAGCGTGGTCGGGAAGTTTGTTCAGTATATAAACCAATTTGATATTACAGTAATACTGTGCCAATTATTCGTCCAAAATGTGTTAGCTGATAACCGACAGAATTACAGAATTATTGAACACACAATCGGAAACTCTGTGAAGCCCCGTGTGTAGAAGAAATCTCCTGAGGCGATCCGAGTGTGTACAGTAGCGAAAAAAAGACAATAGGTGTCACTGCTGAATTATACAGAGGGGCACTCGCCGGATATCACAGGAAGTTAGTTACGCAACATTACGGAAACAGGTAGACTTCTCTGTTCTTCTACACAATTTTGAGCAATTCAACAAATACATACACAATCTACAATCTCTCACCCTCTATTTAGAATAAAATAAAATATTCTAAAAAAAATATACATACTAGATTCATATTATATAAATTAAATGAACGATTAATTAAAAATAAAATGTGAAAATCCAATTCGGGAAAGACTCAAACTATTCAGATTTAGCTGCAGTTTAAAACAAAAAAAAATTAAGTGAATTAAAAGCGGAAATTCTAAAATATTGCAAAAATATGGATATCAAGTTTTTCTTCCTAATATGTTCTGTTAAGTCGGGATAGTGTGCTATGTACATTCTAAGGGAAGGTAAAGTGAGAGAACAATAATGTGTTGTCGATTGCATCCATGTAAAGTATGTTTATCAAATTAAAAAAAAAAACTAAGAATAATTCAAGGCACATTTTCTAAACATTTAGTAAACAATTATAGAATAATTATTCGAGAACAATTTACAGACAAGATCATAACAATAAAAACTAATTTTCAGAGTTATACTATTTTTAAAACTATCTACATTGTTTTCACTTTGCCTGGATCAATATTGATTCTTTTTTTTTTTTTTGGAGAGAGAGAGAGACAAACATCAGCTCGAGATAGTGCGGACCTACAGTGCAAAATCTTAGTCTTATAAAGAAGAAAGTGAAAAAATATTAATCAAAACTAAAACAAATGAACAAATATATAAATACTAATAATAATGATTACGATCTTACATTGTACCAAGTGGTCATGTTTTGCGTGTAACTTGGGATACATGTTCACTAATATTTTAAATGATAATCCGTTTTCTTAGATATAATGTTTTTAGTGACAAAATTAACAAGGTACAGTTTATATTTT